AAAGCAGGCAGTCTTACTATTATACATACAGTGTTCTATCTCCAAAAACGTTTGCATTCATTAGATATTATACTGAAGATTGGATCGGCTGGGTGAGTAGAACTATGTTTTCACAGCTTTCCTTTACCAAAGGAACCACTTCTCATAATCCTGCCCACTCCTTTATGACGGCAGAGGAGGCCCCTTTGAAGATGAGCTTCCCTTACTTGGCTCTTTCTACCCTTTCTTACTTGTGCCACCGCTGTATTTTATAGGTCCAGGAAGAGGCCTGATCACAGGCAATTTTAAAACCCTTCTCTTGGAGTACCTGCGGCCCTCCATACATTTCTGAGTTTGACTTGCAGCATCTCTTTAACTGCTGGCCATGCTGGTAATTGCAGTTGAGTGGCTACCTACCAGGCTACAAAAATACTTTTCAAGCAATTTAAGCACATAAGGCTATAGATAACAATGCCCTCCATCCCACCTTCCACAAAAGATCATTTGGCAAGAGACTGGAACTGGTGAAAGATACAGACATACAAATCTCTCTTCCACTGCATCTCTGCTTCATAGATGCACAGGTAGTCATCCTCTAAACATTCTGTAATGTCCGGCACACGGCGGAACACCCGGTGATAGTAATAAATCTTGTTACTTGCACGCTGGCGCTCAATCCATTCTGCAGAAAGAAAAAAAAATAAGCTCATTCAAGACTGGTGCTAGAGAGATTTTTTAAGCAGTGTAGTTAAAGATAAAGACTAAAGTGATCTCTAGCTTGTCTTAAGACAGCTTGTCTGATACATAATGTAATCACCCAAGCAAATAAATAACACAATCCTTAAGTGTTTTTACACAGAAAAAAGCCTCCCTGTACTCCGTGGCCCTTATGGGGAAGCGACTGGAATGGCAGCGAACGGCTCTCACGCGGTGGCTGAGACTGGCCCAATCGGAGTCTCTACGTGGCCGCGGGCAACCTGGCCAGCTCAGGAACTGAAACTTGCCTGCAACAGGGCAGTGCTTTCCCACAGACATCAAACCACAGGAAATTCCCCCAGACCCAGGAGTGATTTGTTTCTGTCCAACTGAGCACAAGCATTCCCCCGAGTCACCGTCTCCCGAACAGCGGCTCAAAGATGCTCCTAATTGCTGCAGAAGATGCGCCATGGCCAAGCGGAATCTGACTTGGGCCGGGGCAAGGCCAGGGCCAGGGCCAGG